AACACAAATTGGCAAGTGTAAGTCCAGGAAATTTTTCATACACATGATTCACCAAGTCCTAAAATCGAAATGGGGCTTCCAAATTGACAGCGGCATTTGTATTACCGTAACAACAGATCAACATTACATGTGTATCCATCGGCTGTAACAGAAAATAAGCCGACACATTCAGAAGATGAAATTCAATAAAAAGACAAAGTCACACAACCTCACGCACAAATTAATAATGGTAACAATACAAAACACACAGTTAGATACACACACAAAACACCCATACGAAATCACCACCATCCCAGTCCCCCAACAACACACCCACAAACACCAATTCATACACATGCCCAAAACGTTATGTAACATGACGTCAATGTACTGGTGAAATCTAGTCCACAAAACAAATCAACAAAACGCATAAATCAACATTGCAAAAAAAAACATGACATACCTGCAAACCAACGGACATTGTCGAGGTCTGAACTGCTGCATATGCCACGAAACACACAGGTGTCACAACACAAACACTATGATGGCACACCACAAACCTTAACAATGAAGTGGCTGACCCATCCTTTGAAGCAACATTCAACTTACCAAATATGGTGTAACATTCCCAAAAAAAAACACCCTCCATGAAACACGCCCCACTCAACAAACTGAGGGCACAATCGTTCACAAATCAATACCAAAAATGGAAAAAATGATCAAATGGAACAAATCTGTCTAGTAATAGAACTTATCGGTTCAACAGTTTAAATTGGGGATTGATTGGTATAATTGTTTGTGAGGTAGGATTTATTAGTAAATAATCCAAATTTTAATCATTATGACATAATTTATAGGAAATATTTATCAAGTAAGTTGTCGAAATTTTGTTTTCTATTGTATCAACATAAATAATTTGATTTTTACATTCTAATTTTAACTTCAATTGAAATTATTTCATTGTACACATACATTTCAAGATACTGATAACTATTTCAAAATCATTCACTTTGTTAGGTTTGGGTTTTCTAAAAACACTTTTTAGAAAATTTTACTTTCTTATTTTTCATATTTTTTTGTTTATACTTAATTTTTTAATATTTTAAACAATGTTTTTTAATTTTTAAACACACCTAACATAAATACACTTAAAAAGTATAATTTTTCGTGAAAAAAATATTTAAAAAAACTCATTAAATGCAAAAAATATTTAAAAAAATATAAAAATTCAGTAGATAGTTCACATTTTTGTGTATTTATTAATTTTTTAAAATATTTTTCAAAAATATTTTACTTTTTAGATACATCTAAATCAAGTGCATTTAAAAAGTTAAAAAAAATGTTTAAAATTTTAAAAATATTTACTAAAAATAAAAAAATACCAAAAATAAAAAACTCAGCTTTTAAAAAACTGAAACCAAACGCACTGACTAATGTTAACATCTATAATAGAAATATCAAATTAAAATTAAATTTAAAGTGTAAGAACTAAATTATACAATTTGAGTCAAATTATGAGAATTAAAAGTATAATTTACCATAATTTATAAATATCATAAAAATTATAGTTTCGAGTCATTTTTATTATATGTAAGAAATAGAGATTTTCATTACGTTGTTAAATAATTATGAGCCACACCTTATCAAATTAATATTTTAAATTTTAAAATAATTAAAAGGTTATTAAAATAATTAAAATAATTACAACACCCCCTCGAGATTTGGTAAAAATATAGATTCTCCATTGAGGTTTGAGAAATTACAAATTACCCCAGGGTCAAATTTTCATAACAAATTAGAAGAAATTAGGAAAAAATCTGTATAAAAATAAAAATCTCAAGGAACAATTTGTTATGGAAATATAAACCTCAGGAGGAGGGATGTAATTTCTCAAATCTCAGGAGGGAATCTGTATTTTCACCAAACCTCGAAAGGGTGTTTGTAATTTGCCCTTATTAAAACTATAAAAACATGATAATTTACAAACCATATTTTTAAAATCTAAACTTCTAAAATATAACACAAACTCTTAAAATGAAAACTCCCATTTTTCTAAAGAGCCGAGACTCGTTTGCAGTTTAAAATTGGATTAGATCCGTGGAGATCCATCAAAGATTTTGTTTTGATAATTCGAACTGTTCAATGTATAAAATCATTGAGAACTTTATCCCTGTAAAAAAATTACGTTGATCAGATGTCGATTGATACTTGATGCAATCAAATTTCTGTCAACAGTAAATATAATTTTTAAAATAAATTATTGACAAAAATTTAATCCGATCAAGAAATTATTAATATCCGATCAACATGATTTTTTAAAAAGGTAAATTACTCAATAAACTCTACACCTTAAATAATTTGAATTATCAAAATAAGATGATAATAAACCCCACAAATTCACTAATACTGTTCAATTCAGAAAATAAACCAGACACCAGCCTGGCACTTTCCTAAACTTTATTTGCCCCCAACATTTTCTTATTTATAAGTCTTTGGTGTTTAACAATTTAATTTAGCCGTGTGGTTGACTTGCGACTTGTGGCTTGTGATTTGTGATTGTTCAACTGTGCTTGCACATGTTTAAAACTTGAATTGGTCAGAATAAAAATAAAATAAAATGTATACAAATATTTCTATTTTGGGCAAATTACAAACATCCCCTCGAGATTTAGTGAAAATACAGATTTCGCTTGAGGTTTGAGAAATTACATCCCACCCCTTGAGGTTTATATTTTCATAACAAATTGTCCCCTGAGGTTTTTATTTTCATACAGATTCCCCCTAATTTACCCTAATTTTTTATGAAAATTTGACCCTCTAGGGGCAATTTGTAATTTCTCAAACCTCAGGGGATAATCTGTATTTTTACCAAATCTCGAGGGGGTGTTTGTAATTTGCCCTTTTATTTTCTTAGACCAAACAACAACAAAAATATACATAAAAGTTCACTCCATTTTATTTCTTGCTGTTCCTTTTTCTTCAACAAATTCAAATTAGAATGCAAATATAGTGTAAAATTTGAATTTCATATCATGATCATTTCCCAAATATTGAACTTGTAAATTCATGCACCAAATTATATCTAAAAACTGTATAGTCGGAAAAATCCACATTTTAAATTAATTCTCAACCATACATTAAATATTATGATTAACTTTTTTGTGTACAAGTTCTCATCAAACTCAAGCCAAAAAGTGTTCAGTTTTTGTTTTTAAATATTTTTTTTAAATTTTTTAACAAATTAATATGTATATATATGTGTGTGTATGTTGTGTGTGTGAGGTGGTTACGCAAATGCTTTAATTAAAACAAATGTGAAAATGGCCAACCACCAAGAATTTGATTGATGAGATGAGAGAGAGAATCATGGTGGTTAAATTGTTGAGCTATGCTTGTCTTCTCGAATGATATTAGAACAACCCAAGTTCTAATTGTTTTTATTTATTCCCACTAATTCTATTACATAAGCATTAAATAAAATAAACCCTAGATAGATACTTCATTATGCAAATTAACCCCATTTTCAATTATTGGTGCATTTTTTTACTATTTAATTAGTTAAATGAATTTTTAACAAAGACTTCTTCACGAGAAGAAGTGGAACTTTTCTCCCATTCCATTCCCTCTTAACCTAAAATTTTCTCATTTTACCCTATCCCAACCCCGGCTCCTACCTCGATTATATTTATGATATCAATTTATATATAATTTAATTTTTTTAAAATATTATGGGACTAAAACATCAAAACAATCAGCATTGCAAACAAATTGATTACATACCCAATCATGTTTATATCATTGTTGGTGATTAGGAGAGAGAAAATTTGAAAAATCAATATTAATAGGAAATGGAGCAAATTTTTTACAAATAAGTGGTAATTATAGTGGGTGTAAAGTTTTTAATGTGTTTTCAAACACATTAAAAATTTGTTCTCTCACTTATTTTGAATAACAAAGAAAGATTTGGAAAGAGAGATTTTTAGCTAAAAAATCATTACATGTTATTCTCTTTACTTTTTTATACATATTTTCGTTAAAAAATAATTTCCAAACAAGTCCTCAATTATAAAAAAATAAATTCATCTTTTTCTTTTTCTTTTTATTTTTATTTTTATTCTCTCTCATTTATTTTTCTCAAACAAGACTAAATAGATTAATTTGACAGATGAAATGTTCTCTTATCAAGCGTAATATCAGACTTCAAGTCTTGTTTGTATTATGCAACCTCTCATTCTTCTATTTCCCTTTACATATATAATAACCTTGTCCAACAAAAAGAGAGAGGTAACCCCCTCCACATAACTCAAAAATTATCCAAACAATAAAGTGATATATTTATCACTATCCCTTTTTTTTTTCTCCTCATTTGCCTAACAAGCTTTTAAGTTACAACATGGTCTCATTTGTCAAATGTTAGCTATCCATCTCAAAGAAAAACTGTTGCACATAACATAACCCCCTAGTTTGCAGTGAAAAACCGTCTTACATGTACCAATCTCTCAAATAAAGGAGCTTCAGATTGCTTGTACACTCCAAAAACAAGTACCACCAAAATCTACCCCTTAACCAACCCAACCAATTTGATCAGAAGTCCCAACCACAATTGAACCATTTCAGGATGAACATAAAACATCATATATGAAATAATAATATTTTCACGAGCACATATATAGCAAATCTGATTATATATACTTGTTCTCATATATTTATGGCAAACAACACATGTCATAACTTAGGCCATGTTTGGTGGTGAGTATTCGATGTAGCATGTGCTTACAACTTATGAGACAAAAAATAACTTAAATCAACTGAAAAAAATAAATCAATGAAATATCAAAGAAAATGTGCTTATAACTTGCGCTTTCTTATAATCAAATTTTAATTTGCTAGAAACTTATAATCAAATTTTAATTTGCTAGAAACTGCACCAAACAGGCCATCCTTAATTATGTCGATATAAAATACAAAGCAATAATAACAATATAAAAATCCACAAATGTTTTCTAAAAAATTGCACAAACTTGATTGAAGATAAAATCCATAATGTTTTCCAGTATACCCAAAAGAGGATAACCATTCACATCCAAAGTAAAGATAAAATTTACCTAGCTTATGCTTGTGAGGATACGAAAAGAGGAAGAGGGCAAACACGGAATTGCACAACACGGGTTCTGTCATGAGAATTCACTTCTTTTTTCTTTTCTTTTTTCTAACTTGAACAATAAAAAAGTTGGATAACCTATTAATGTTAACAAAATATTCCTTCTGCATAATTAAAAAAAGAGAAACAAAAATTGTCTCTAGAACTTTCCTCACTGTCACAGAAACATTATTAGATTAGTGAATCTAAATCAGCTTCTTCTTTTGGAAAAATCGCTTCAAATACCACAACTGCATAGCCGAAACCACAATACAGATCCCCAATGACATAATACTATACCATGCCACTCTCGCATTAGTTGTTTCACTCACTGTCCTCATTTCTGCTTCTCTGCAAGATTTCAACCCCCAAAAAAGTTGAAAAGAAAAATTAAAAATGACAAAAGAAAATGAGCTAAATTTAGGGACGATGCAATAAGGTCATGCATTGCAATTGTAGAAACAATTTACCGGCTCTTGAGATACAGTAAATTTTCATGGATAGCCTCTACTGCTCCTTCAAGCTTTCTTAGCTCAAGCTCAACACCCTGTACAATCATAATCAAGGCATGAAAAGAAGACTTATTTAATAGTAACGAATGTGTAAGAAGTTTTTGAGTCCACTCAGCAAAATGATACTAAACTCACATAGTTGATTCATTTTTCAAATTTCTACCCATTAGGTCCTCTTTCAAATTAACAAGATAAATTACCCGCTAACAATGTTACATGGACTTTTCTATTTTCCCCAGTACTAAGGGCGTGGGAGACATGTCCAACAACTGGATCCTCTAATTTTATATGACGTTTGAAGAAGAAAATGCTCACATTTGCTAATAAAGAAATATTTCTTACCTCTCACATGATGGGAGAAAGAAATTTCATATTTTCTTTAAATCCTATTTAATTTCAAATACATTTCTAAAAAATTTACTTCATCTTATTTAAAAATATTATACAAGATGCAATTTAGTCAATGTACAAGTTTTGTCCCCCTATCCATAACCAAAATTTAGATATGTATCCCAATACCCTAAGATTTAGGTTTAGGAAAGTCTTAGACTCACACCCACACTCAATATCCGTGCTTGAGTCCATGTAACATAAACCCACTAAGAAAGGAACCATGCAAGTGAAATAACAATAATCTTAATAAAATCCAAACTCCCAAAATTACCAGCATGTCTTTGGCTTAGGTTTGCATAGCCAACTATTTGGAAGAGTCCTCAATTCACATTTTCTTTACGGTTAACATTTGACGATGGCATTTCTGGTTCTATAAATTTTAAGAGATAAATGTGAGTGTTTATGTTTCATCGAATAAATTATAATTGTTTTGTGCATTAACCGTTAACAAATGCGGCCACCATCTACCCATCCTTACATGTTGCCAACGTCCAAGACTTTTTACACTATATGTGAAGGATACTTCTGTAGCACTAGAATTGTATGTCGAGAGTACACAGCAATTTGCCAGAAGTTAGGATGTAGAATAGCTTTGAAGTTAAATAGACTCTGGGAAAAGCCTTACCATTGGCAAATCGCTCACTTTAGGAAGAGCAGAAGGAAATCTGCTTCTTCCTTTTCCCCAAGAATGAACAATTGGATATAGAATATTAAATATCTATCATTGTAATTAAAAACATAAATAAGTTAAGCAAGCAGCCCTTTGGTGACTCAAACTGCCGGTCTGCCTTCTGGCTCGTAATGGTTCAAACGGGCAACAATTTCATTTTTCAGGAAATGTAAAAACAATTTTCTAGTGAAAAGCAACAAGAAAAGTAAAAATGTTGAAGTACCCACCTCAAGTTTCTCTTTTCTTGCAACTGATTCCCAATCCTTAGCTGCAATTCCAGTTCTCCATTCAAGATTAACATTTACATCTCCACCTCCTTGATGATGGCCATCCACCCAAAAACATGCCAAGTAGTTGCCAGCCTCCTTAGTTGTAAATGCAAACTGACCATGTGTCACATTCTCCTGGTGGTGAAGATTGTTTCCGTATGGCGACGTTACCTACACAAAGAACACAAACCACTATTCTCATTAGTTTGCAAGCAAATAGGAATAAGCCCTGTAATCAGTTATATATGAAACCTTCAAATAGGTTTTTGGTGTAACACTGTCTTTTGCTTTCTTTTGTATACAGGTTGCACCCTTTGGTGCCTCTTTCAATATTATTCTTTTAATTATTAAAAAATAATTAAGTGAAAAGAATTAGAGCTGCCCATATGATGAGCTTGGCTCTATTGTTTGTGGTCATATTTTTGTAGACTTGCCTCAACTAAAAATAAATAAATAAAATATAGGAACTAAAAGGAAAGAGAAGAGAGAACTATAATAGACAAGTGGCAACATAAAGACTTGGCCACGGCTAAAATGTAGAATACATGACCATATATCTGATGTGAAACGCAAGCATCTAGACACCAATGAATTACATCTGCTCTATACCCCTCCACCATTAATACCAGAAAAAATGATCCTCTATCAGTTGCCCAAACCCCTCACAGATAGCTAGAATTTTAACCTTGACAACATCCTCGAAACCACTGGCCTGGTCAAGACAATATATCATCCCCAAAATGAATGTTTTAGGCCTTCAAAATTGAACAGACCTAATTTTTTAAGACATTTTCCGTCAGCTTGATGTTAACCACGTAACGAGGGTGATTTGTGTCGAATGATGTTTCTGGCTGGGTGGGAGGACATCACTGTTCTCCAACGTCTGTCACTTAACTTGAACTGAATTAAAAATGAAACCTGAACACATGCATTCTCAGCACTCACTCAAATATAGAAAACCTCACTACTGTATACGAATCCTATTCTCTCATTCCAACACAAAATACAGGTTCCGAAAGAGCATGCAAGGAGTTTATGCCTTTTTGGTCTATTCCCAAAGCTGAAAAAAGTGAAAAACTATAGCTAAGACCTAGGCTATACTCGAAAGAAATATCGAGTGTGGGCATGTATCTAGGTATTGAACCTCCTTAAACCATTAATTTAAGGATATATGGTATGTGTCCAAAAGTTAGATACAGGTACAAATAAACAAAATGACCTAGCTCTCAGCCAAACTGTCTACAACTACATCGATAGATAAAGGGAACCGTATGACAACTTCTGATAATCTTAATCTTGCAATACAATTTCTGACAAAGATAGACATGATGTCCGATCACTTGTTTTCATAAATGTTGTCTATTCCTTCCATCTAAAACTTATCGAGATCAACTAATCAAAGCTTTATGTTGTTTGGAAAAAATAGGGCTGCCTATGACCCTTGTTGGTAAGCTGACCTAAGATGATAGGTTATAAATTAGAGCTATCATTTGGAGATCCAAATGTACTTTCTTGGCCTAACCACATTGATGTGACCTCACAGAAGCAAAATTCATAAAGTGTCTAAAAAGAAAAAAGAAAAAAAGAAAACACAGACAAGCAAAACATAAGGAATGATACCCGGATGTGTCTAGCACTGTTGAAGAAAAAAGAAAACAAAAACAAAACTAGAAGTAGACTTTTCACAGCTCCAAACCATTATGAACACAGTGACCTCTTAAGCATCAAGCATTCCAAGAGGGTAACACCCATCAGCCACATTATTTGCTTCCAAAGAGTTTGTCAATAAATTGAATGGAATTCACCCTCAATGAAGAAGCCAACCTTCTAAAAAGACTAACTTCAGATGTCCATCTCAATCCAGCTAAACTCATTAGACACAACAACTAGTTGAGACAAATCTGCAGGCTTGCATTCTTTTATGCCCAAAATAACTTAAGAAACTCTGCTTGTACCACCTATTAAAAAAAAATAAAGTAACCTCACTTTGTCTATTCTAAACTTTAGCCAGTCCCAAGAAACCAAAAACAGCATTCCAATCATGATTTTTACACACAAAAACCCACCTTTGAAATGAAACAAAAGAGAAAGCCCAAATCCAAATAAGTGTCTTTTGCAAGATCATTAATAAGTTTGACAATCATTTCTTTTTTCATTGCCAATCATACTCTTATGTTGTGAAAGACTCTTTGCACAGAACGATATTGCTTACTGTGCCCTTTCAAACATATCTTCTTTATTTGGTAACTACTCTACAGAATTTTGCATTAGGGTCAAGGGGCTCAATATATATGTCATTTTGGCTGTGATTTAATGCATTTAAACAGTTTGAGGACATAAGTGTGAACATTGAGGCCACCTGAGATAAGATTTGTGTAAAGTTTTCATTAACAACCATTTGACTAAAATTCCTGCCACTGTTACCATTAGATAATATAAAGCCATTTATTTGTCTAAACCCTTGCTCACCCATGTGCAACCCAAGTGCAGAAAGTCTCTACAACTAGTCACTCTGACTTTGCAAATTGCTCCCTGCTAAACCAAAAGTGAACACTTTTCAGAAATCATTATAGGCGAATTCTATTTACCTCCTCAAAGCCTATTAGTTGAAATTAAGCCTATTTGTGGAGGCCATGCTGCTAATCTATGCATAGCCGTCTTACTGTTCTGAGGTATGCCTGAGAGTGATTTATAGTGCTCTTGCTTCAAAGAGATTCCTCTGTGGTAAGTTCATTTCACTGTTGAATGGATAGGATTCTTGGAGACTTTCGGTGCCTTGTAATAGAAGACACCATTTTGCCTCCTCAATTGTGAATTCATTATTCTTGGATGCATCATTCCACCAATTCTAAGGCTGACTGACTCCTTAGCCAGGGTTTATGCCACAACGTTAAATAGTGCATCAGATTATACTATGATTCAAATCACTTCGAGACAGCTCCTATCCATCTTCACAGTCTATTAAAATCATAAAGTTGACTATCTTTTATGCACTAGGCTGCTCTTGACGAATTCAAGGTTGAAACTAATTCCTATGAATGCACACCATTCCCACAAATCACTTTCATCAAGTAAGCCAGGGGACTTCATAAAGGTTTGCTATAGTTTTCCTTCTATTTTTGAGGGCTTCTTCAGATTTTTTTTATTCTACTAGGTGTTGAGGTTGATTAGTACACAATGCTTGGTTTGGTGTAGCATTGAGGCTCATTCATGTGGGTGGGTGCTTCCCGTATAAAAGAATTTCAAAACTTCCACCTTACATACCTCCCGCTTCTTCTTGCCAACAAAATCTGTCATCATTTCCAAAATTAAAAAGAGGTATAACTTAAGCTTGTCATCTCGACAATGTGTCAATGTGCTCATTGAGCGATGCATTCACAAAATTCCACATGCTTCTATTCTTTTATTAAGTTGAACAGGTTGATGCCTTTAAAACTTAGAAGTAGGCATAGGCATAAAAAGAAGAAAACATTCTAACTCTCACCATAAAAATCAGAAGTATCAAAAGTCAACCAAAGCCATCATCAAGATACCTCCCAACAACCCTTATAACAGACAACAAAAAATTATTCCACGAGATAACATCTTCCTTCACCTTCCAAGACAAGCAAATTTAGTCATCTACAGTTAACAAGCCAATATATCGCTTCAGTAGCTGTACTTAAAAAGTTAGAATGTAGGATTTTACTTATTTGGTTTTCAGCATAAAATTAGCTAAAATGGATATAAAAAAGAAAAAATTAAGTTATGTTTTAGATGCTTCTTCTGAACTAAATATAGCTTTTAAATGGAAACAAATATGCACAGCATCTGCCAACCAGTACTTGAACGGTGCAGCTCTCCCTTCACAGGTAGCAGATAACCACTCAAGTTGACATATCGTGCTATAACCTTTTCCCTTTACATGTTCTAGTGATTGTAGATACACCCCCACCCCCAAAAACAATTAACAAATAACAAAAGAAAAGGAAAAGAAAAAGAAAAGATTAAGAATCTCCGTGTCATAAGTAGGAAATATTTAGAGAATCCCCATGTCATTAGTTTTCCATTTCTATGCGAACTCTGAAGTTATTATTCAGCTTGGTGCTTAGAAAGGATAGGGGGAAAGGAAAAGAAAAAAGTTCTTTCAGTTACTCTATCTCTTGCTTAGACAAATGTTGAAATAACAAATTCTAAGCAATGGTACAAAATCAAAATATTATAAATAAAAAATGAGAGAAAGAAAGAGAATGATTTCTGACATCAACATTCTTCTATTTTTTCATCATATTTCCTTTGCTTCCCTGTTTACAAATTGCTTTTTCCATTTTCATTTCCATCACCAAACCCAAGAACCAAAATGGAACCTCAATTCTCTCTTCATATAAAATAAAGAAAGAAAATTCACATGATTTCTCGTAAACAAATGAAAATCAAGCCTTTCACTACATTCCTACATATAAATATTTTTTAATATATTGCTAAGCCAAGGTTAAGACTATGCTAACGCTAGGGTGATCAAATTCCAACACACTCACATACATACATATATACACATCTATCTATTTGATTACATAAAGCGTACACCCCATTTAGTATGAAAGCTATCACGTTTTTTGCTTTTTCAAGAATGCCCTCCACAGACAATAACTACCAAATTCACCCCAAAATGGTTTCTCTCATTCATCACACCATCCAAAATTGCTAAACTATTTTTCTCATGCATCAAACAGTCCAAAAGTTAAAAATCTATTCTATCTATTATATTCTATTCTTGTTACATGAAGCATACACCCCATTTCTGACACAGTTTTTCTCATTCATCAATCCATCCAAAATTGCTTAATGGTTTTTCTCATGCATCAAATCAAACAGTCCAAAATTTTAAATGTAAAATTGTGTTTAATCATCGTGTTTACTCAACGCTATGATACATATATATCTATATAAATAAACATTGATTTATAAACCCTAATAAGGCTAATTGATTGATTAGTACCTTGACGGAGATGGTGGGGGAGACTTGGGTGTGATCCTCGGCGATGACGACGTAATCGGCCAAAACGACGACGTTGTTGTGAATCTCGTCGGAGACGCACTTCGTTCCCGTCGCCGGAAGGTTCAACCATATGCCCTGACTCACCGGAACTAAGCACAACATCAACAACACCCAACCTCTGCGCACGTTAGCACCCTTCCCCATCGCCTCTCTCTCTCTCTCTCTTTGTTTCTCTCTCTTCGACGTTGAATCTTCGTCTGGTCCTACCGAGATCGAAGACAATGAGAACCCTCAGATCTCTCTCTCTCTCTCTCTCTCTCTATACTGCTCTGTTTTATTTTACTTTTTTGGGTTGATTTTTCGGTAATGAAATAAATAAACGGAAATGCTACAGAAATAGTAGGCTATTGAAATCCCATTTTGTCGTTCTTTATACGACGTTCAAACTCATATATCAACAATTCTTTCATTAAATTTAAATTTAATTAAAAAAAATTACTTCAATAATTTCATTAAATTTAAATTTAATTAAAAAAAAATTACTTCAATAATTTTATTAAATGGGTATTAAATTAAGAATATCAAAAAAAAAATTCACCAAATTAAAAACGCCTACGAGTTGTTATTAAATTATGGTATTTTGATACAAACTCAAAATCTTCCATTGAAATACTTAATTTCAAATACAATTAAGGGTGTTTCTTTGGTAGGATTCACTCCGGAGATAGAACTCCATGTGAGAATATATAATAGTTTATTATTTGGTGCAGAAATTTTACACCAAACTAATAATCTGTCTAAATTTGTTGTATTATTCTATCCCAAAGGGGATATGCGACACAAAATACTCGATAACTATTCTCATGGATAACTATTCGGTTTTGCTAAACATTTGTTTGGCTTTTTTCAAAATTTGCTTAAATAGGAGAAGGTCCCTCCGGTCCAAAATCTGGATTGGAGAGTGCTGCTCTGGCCGTAAGGTTTATAATAGGTTTTGTTTCGATTATTCAAACAGTTAATTTTGTCAAATACTTCATATATATTTCATTCACACAAAAATTAGATCAATCCGATAACTGTAAAGTTTAATTTTTTGTGTTTGTCATCAAAAAAATGTATACTTTATTTTTTTGAAGCCTTTTTTTTTTTGTAAAAAATGTGATAAATTAAACTAGTTACATTTATTGAATCGACCTAATTTTTTTGTAGATGAAATGCATGAAGTACCAGACAAAATGAACTATTTTGATTATCAAAATAGGGCCCGTGGTGGGCCACATGAACCGAAACAATGCCCTCAAATCCAGATTTTGAGCTGGAGGAAATCCTCCTCCAATTAAAAATTAATGGATAAATTACAAATACACCCCTCAGATTTGCTTAAAGTACATATTGCCCCATGTAGTTTGAAAAATTATAAATACCTCCTCATTAGTATTTTTTATTTAACAGAATTAACTAAAAAAATGAAATTCATAATTATTCTCCTATACAATAATAAAATTACCTCAATTATTAATTGAAACATATTTCTAACATCATGAAAATTATTAATTGACTTGATGACTTATTAATAAAATGGGTGATTTGTTATGAAATTATAAACCTCAGGGGTGGAATGTAATTTCTAAAACTACAGAGGCGATTTATATTTTAATCAAACCTCAGGTGTGTATTTGTAATTTATCCAAAATTAATTTAGTGAAATATATTTTACTTTTTTTATGGATGAAAATGATTTTTAAAAACTTAAGAATATATTTTAATATTTATTTTTATGAAACTAAATCATTTCTTTTATAAATATTTAGTTTTTTCAATTTTTTTATTTCCAATAAATTTTGTTAAACTTTAAAAAATAAAATTGAAATTACGCATATAAAACATTTTTTTAATAATACTATTCTCATCCAATAACTATCATACTCCTACATCACATCCAATAAATTTTTTTATTTTTTTATTTTCAAGATTTGTTGATGAGAGTCGATCGTAAAAATCATCCCCATTATCAGGTTCATTCTCCCATTGGTTACCTTTTTCTTTCAATACTGGTGAATCATGAGAGACACTATGCTGATAGTTGGGATACCGGCTTTCATCTATAAATGTTTCTTTGCTGAAAGGAAAGCCTGGAATGGCTAAATTATGATATATCTTCTAATTTCTATCTTCGCAGACGAGATTACCATAGCTTCCATTATATGCTAATAAAGGATTACTAGCACATTTCCTCCATTTATTAAACTAATCTCTGAGTGAAAACTTTCTGCATAGCCAAGGTCTCCGATTGACAAGTCCTGGTTATCTTGGAAATGTCGAAGTTCCTGTAAGGTACATTTTATGCTTAGCTAGAATGCACCTTATTCATTTCCATTCTGGTAGATTGCTATCAATTAATACTTCTACAAACGGGTAATGCTCTTTCATTACAAAAAGTATTGAATGAGCAAGTTTATTTCCAAAATTATTTGTCTGATCTGGATCTGCAAATATTATTCTAGAAACAAAGTCGTAATCTAACAATTGTGCGGCTGTTAGATGACGCGTTTTGCCTTTAATCTCTATCTCTGATGGCTCAAAAGTTGTTAGATTTATCTGGCAAAGACAGATGTTGAAATCTAGATTACATTGACATCTTCCAAAATATTCTGGCCTATCTATACATCTTTCTTCTTGTAAATAGGGTTATTCCTCATCCTCGTAGAGATAAGTTCATTGATATGCCATACCAGGTCACTGAACTCCAACTATGGAGAGATCTTGAAGAAACTGTTGTATAGTGACTAACTCACTATTTTTGCTATCTTTGACTAAGGTGTATATATAGGGTTTAAGGTCTTCTATTTCTCGGTTTTTCTCACAAAAAGATTGAATGATAGAATGCCTAAAGAAATATATTCAAACACTCAATTGTTCAAATTCCTTATTGGTAAGTTGTTTGATTTCTAGGTCAGGAAATGGAGTAGGTGTTTTTTTTTGGAGTTAGTTTTTTAAGCTGGTTGGTTAGGGTTTGAATGGTTGATCTTAATTGTTTTTTCTCGTCTCGAAGCTGGTCTAGCTCTTCACTGACTTTTTGTCTTTATCTATAATTTTCTTGAAATTTCTGATAAGGCCTTCACAATGTCTGCACATTTGGAGAAGATTTTGAGAATCTATCTGAGGGTTAGTACTATTGCTTCTTATTATCTGGCTAACTGGAACTCTCCTAGTAGCAAGAATAGTTGACTGCATCTTGCTCAATATGTCTAAATCATCTTTAGCTATTTGGATAATAAAGAAACTGGTTCCTATTTGTCTGAGGACATATGTACTAATTGACTTAAAATCATAAAATCCTTTAAACTGAGGTACAAGAAAATTTTTAACTAAAGGTTCAACTTCTACCCAGTCATGATAAATACCAGGCTTGGTTCCTTTTGCTACTACACAGAAGGAAAAACTTTGGACAAAGGTTTATTTTGAATTTTTGAAAATATATACTGAGAGAGTTTAAGGCTAATAAACGTTTGGCTGGGTGATTGAGATTGTTCCAAAGGTTATCTAAAAGACACTGTTGAACTGGGTCTAACTCGATTCCTGTTAATGGGTTGAATTTGTTTCTGCCTTCATAAATATGAAGAGCAAATCTCCCAAAGTTCATTGTTTTGTTATTCTCCATTATCTGCACAAAAATTCAACTGGTTATTTTCTTTTTCTAAATAAATTTTCTTACTTAGCTAATCTGTTCATTTATTATCACTCCCTTTAATATGTTCAAATTCTACTTTATATCCTTGTCCTACTATACAATCTAAAAATTTTGCCCATCTTCTACTACTAAGTTTACGCTCATTAAGTTTATTATGAAATCTAACTATAGCCTCGCAGTTTATTCTAGTTGTAAAGGGCTTACGTAAAAATAATCTAAATTTGTTTATTACATATACTATTCCTAATATTTCAAAATCTAAGTTGGTCATGGTTGTATCTTTTTCTTTAAATTTTTCAGAACTATATCTACAAATACGCTCTTTATTTTTATTATCATACTTGCTAGGTTTAGCTAATAGTATTGTTCCCCATCCTAATTGGCTTGCATCTGTTTCTACGACTATATATTCTGATTCTAAAGGAAGTTGTAGGTCAGGTAAATTTCTACAAATGTCTTTAATTTTTCTTACTAAAGCTATATCTTGTTGGTTAAAATATTTTTGACCTGTGAGTGTGGTCTTACTATACAGAGGTCCTATTATTTTACTAAGGTTAGGAATATACATTAGTGCATGATTTAAAATCCCTAAAAATGATTGAAGTTGTTTTGTATCTTCTAATTTATCTGAGTAATCTAAAATTTTCTTAACTATGTGGAGTTGTAGCCTAATTTTTCCATCTTCTAACTCCATTCCTAAAAATTCTATTTGAGGTTTATTTAATAGCATTTTTCTCTTACTAATTATTATTCCATTGTTTATAAATTCTTCTTATACTATATATAAATGATCTATGTGACTATTTTTATCTGTGCTAAATACTAGTATATCATCTATATATGCCAGTATAAAACTATTTATTAAATATACTATCCATCTTACGCTGAAATCTGGAATGTGCATTTTTTAGTCCAAAAGGCATGACTAGCCATTCATAATGTCCTTGTAGGCAACAAAAGGTTGTCCGATTTATACTTCCCTTTTCCATTTTGATTTGCCAAAACCCTGACTTGCAATCAAATTTGCTAAATATTTTTGCTGTTTGTATTCTATTTATAAGCTGATCTTTATCTGGTGTATTATATTTATCATTTTCTGTATTGTCATTTAATCTTTTATAATTTATAACCATTCTAATTTTCCCTCTTTTTATTTCTGCATGATTTCTAACCATAAATGCGGCGCTCTTATGTGGGCTATTACTAGGTCGAATTACTCTTAAATCTAATAGCTCTTTAATCTGTGTTCTAAGTTCTTCTATATTTGTTGGAGTATGATCTATTTGTGTTGATGTAATCCTATAATCTTTATTTTTTATATCTAAACTAGCTAAAACTTTATTTATTTCCCAGTATTTCATGGAATGTTCTCCTAAAATTTATGTTGTTTCAGCTAATCTTATTTTCTAAAACTTTATTTTTTTTCCAGTATTTCATGAGTTGTTCTCTTAAAATTTCTGTTGTTTCAGCTAATCTTATTATTTCATATAAATCATTTTTTGTTCTTCTGTATATTGATATTCTCTTTAGTTTTCCAATTTTTGCAAAAAGTAATTCTAAATTAATTTGTTGAAAGTCTTTTAGGTTCCAACTGTGCTGATGTAATCTTATAATCGTTATTTTTTATATCTAAACTAGCTAAAACTTTATTTCTTTCCCATATTTCATGGGCTGTT